CGAATCTAAAGGCAATACACCTTCTAACAACAATGATTGAGTCGCCCCAGTATCACGTAGAATACGTATGGGTATGGGATTGCCAGTGTCATTTGTCAAAGACACAGAATTTACAGACACAAAAGGTCTAAATTCTTCTCTGATTACATCAGCCTTTATATCAGTGGCCAAATCAACAACATCGGGAGATCTGGTGAAACTATGGCCATATGTGGACACAAACGCGCTGGATTGCCTCCTGTTCTTTTTTCTTTTTCAAACACCAACAATCGGACATAACATGACCAGGTTTTTACAAAAATGGTAGACAGACCTTGATTGTTTTAAAGAAGTTTTATCCTGACTGTCAAATGATTTCGAACCAGAGGAGCTGGATTTTTCAGAAGAATTCTCAACTTTAGTGGATTGAACAGATACAGGTTTTTGTTGATATGGTAGGAATTTCTTTTTATGAAAAGTAGTTTTATATGTTAAAGTGTAATCATCTGAAAGAGCAGCTACTTCCTGTAATGTTTCGACTTTCTTTTCGTCCAAGTAAGTTTTGAGGTCATCACGTGCACAACGTTTAAATTCCTCAATTAGACATAATTGTCTTAGTTTGTCGAAGCTGTTTCCAATATGTACAGAATTGCTCCATCGATCAAAATAAACCTCTTTTTCGTGGGCAAATTATATATAAGTTTGATTATCTTGTTTGCGATAACCTCTAAACTTTTGGAGATAAGCCTCCGGTACTAACTCGTATGCTTTGAGAATAGCTGCTTTAACCATTATTCTGTTTATCATCGACTTAATAAGTAAAAGTTTTATCATTACTCCGTAATCGATATCTTGATAATTTCTTGTTATTCAGTGGACCTATCCGATAGTTCTAGAGTTACTGCAGGTTCATTATTCTGTTTAACATCGACTTAATAAGTAAAAGTATCATTACTCCGTAATCGATATCTTGTTATTCAGTGGACCTATCCGATAGTTCTAGAGTTACTGCAGGTTCATTATTCTGTTTAACATCGACTTAATAAGTAAAAATATCATTACTCCGTAATCGATATCTTGATAATTTCTTGTTATTCAGTGGACCTATCCGATAGTTCTAGAGTTACTGCAGTTCCATCTGGGTTTACCACAATCAGTGGCGTAATCACAAAAGATGGGCCCCTCTTTGTTTTTTTGTTTGTTTGTTTTGAATTTCGCGCAAAGCTACACGAGGGC